TGTTAATGGTCATGGTCATGAAAATAAAGAAAACACATTGAATGAGAAGGTGTGTCCAAACTGTTGGCCTGTACTGTACCTTGCCAAATAAATGGAACATTTTATATTTTAGAACGTAGATCTTGCTGCCTAAAGTAAATTTCTTCTTTTTAGCCGTTTTATCAGAAACAAAGTTTTCTTCTCTTCCTGCTAAACCTATACAGGCTCTATTTAGCTGGTGGAGTCTTGTCCAGCTCTCATTTAGTCCTCCATGTTCTCTCCGAATCCCTGGCTGTGATACTTGGCAGGAAGCAGCCGTGCTAGGAGGGACCAGGGGTTACTTTCTGACAGATGCCACATCTGCTGCCTTTCCTAAGTGTCTTTACAAACTCTAATATTGCTCAGCAACAAGATGGTTGGAACGGCGGGGTGTCGTTTGCATACTGTATTGGCAGAGGAGGCGCGGCCCCCATGCATCTCTTATCAGTGATTATGACTGCAGCATGTTTAACAGCGGTCGTTCGGCAATTTCACAGCCGAAGGGAAAGAGAATAATTGTATTTTCCAAGTGGCTGAGTGCAAACACTGTACCGCTGTGCTGGTGGGCTTGTGTCTCTGGGTTAGGACTGTGAGGAAAAAGTAGTGTTACTGATGGTGAACACAAGTGTTTTTCAAGTGAGCTTTGATTTTCAGAAAATCTTTATACCGTTAACATTAAGACACGCATTTCTTGTTTTTTACACTTGTAGTGTCATGGCTCTAATCAACACCAGCGTTCGTGGCGTTAGCTGTTGGACTTTTTTGTTTCAAATAAAACGTACTGTTGTCTCTTTGTGCGGCTTCATCAGCTTGTAACTACGGGTTTACACTACACTACTATTAGCACATTATCAAGACATTTTAACACATGAAACAACAACTTGCTGTTATATTTTCTTATTCATCTGAAATGATCATTTTAGGAACTAACGACTTGAAATTTTCTTTGTTAGTTGAGTTTTAAAGGAGACACATCAGGACATTTTTCATTAGTTATAATAGTTCTAAGGTCAATATGAAGCTTATTTATGAAGTTCTTTGCGCTAAAAGTACTTTCAAGAATGAGTCATTTCAGGGCTCTGTCGCTTTAAGAAACCAAGCTGGAGCTGGCCACGCCCACCCAGCCCCCGGTCCAGCTGCTATAAGCCAAGAAGCTCAGGTATCCGGGATGGGCTCATGTGAGACGTGGCTCTATTTCCAGTTACCATTTTGTGACATCACAATCGAGGACTTTTTGAAACGGCTTGTTTCAGGCTCATAATTCCGAACCAGTCAAAGGCTGTGAGACCCACCTTGCAGAACAACATGATGCATAAGGTTAGTTTTGCAGAATGTTCCCTTTAAAATAAGATGCTATGTTGAGAAATCAAGAATGAACTTATACACACACCTGCCTATTGCACTCAGAATATGTGTTAATAATTCTGTTACATTAAATTTCAGCTCAATACCTGTCAAAGTGAGTTATAGTGATGTTTGTGTTTTCTGGGGTTGATAAACTGTGGGGACATTCTTTAATAGGAGTGAGTTCAGAGGTTAATGGGTTGGAGGTGAATTTTCAGTAAGGAGAGTCAGTGACTGTTAAAGGTGGAGTCCAAATTCCTGGAAAAAGCTGTTTAGTTGAGCAACATTTTGAAAACTGACAGTCTAAAGTCAATCTAAATGTAACACCAGATACAATGGATATCAACTATAAAAATAGAACATTAGCTTATCTTGTTGGCCTGTTCTTGGCACCCTTTCTGCTATAATTTGTAATGTAACACACCTACATAACCGTATAATGATTTAGTATGCTAGCTAATAGAACGTGGTGTTTTTAAGGTGAAAAATAAGGCCCTTTGTTGGTGGGACTTGAAGTTAATAAACCAAGAAAGCTACAATCAGGAGAAACCCCACAAACAACAGGTAAGCACAGCCTGAAACTCCTCACATCCCTAACAGCGCTGTGCATGCATTAAGCAACAAACTGGCTCTGCCAGCTGTGTTCACAGACAACAGGTCCGTCACCTAAAGGGTTTTTTGTCAAATTTGCAAGCAGAACCGAGCATTCTGCCCGTTCCACTAGCTAGCCCAACTCTGGTTTCACTTTCTGTTCGGCTTGAAGCTGAGAATGCGTCACTTGTGCACTGAGAGGGGTGTGAGCAGAGGGAGGAGAGAAAGTCAGAGAGCAGTTTGGTGGATGGATCAGGAGCCAATCATTAAGAACGGGACGTTCACAATGGTTGGATGGGGTTTTTCCAGGGTTGTACGTTCCTTAATACATTAGTCGCCCTCAGCAAGTGAAAAGCCTTTAAGCAAGATGGAAAAATGCTCTAAAAAAGACCGTGCATAGCACCTTTAATAGCAAAGTTTTAAACAAATATCTCAGTAGATATTTTAGCCTTCTGACTATGAATGACTCTCACCTCAAACCAGTGAAAAGACACATGCGCAGACAAAATGAACCCTTTTCACTTTACTCATTAGTGTGGGTGTTAAAATTAAAATGCATGCTTAACACATAATAATAAAGGCTCAGGATCGATGTATTGAGTTTCTATACAGACAAAAATAGACTATTTAAATAGGTTGAAAGGGAAAACGGGGGTCATGCTGTTTAACATCCTCTCTCTTTATTAACGTCAATGTTAAAGTAAAGACACAGTGGGAGACTTCACCTTACAATAATCACTGAACAAATTTGAATTTTGATGATAGAATATCTCCAGTGCAAGAGTTGTTATAAAAGGAAGCTGAGATGAGATTGTTTAGAGTTTCTATCGCCTAATCAATCTAAAACACTCGATTACAGCTCAGATGGCTTTCATTGCTTTCACACTGACTTACGTTCTTATAAATAAAATATTTATCTGCAGAAATGATCACTTAGACTCACAAGCTAAAACAGATGTTACTAACTGCTGTCGTACATCTGTCCAGCTGCTGCAGCAGTCAGCTCAGCGGCTGTAAACGTTTCTTCAAGCTGCCCACTTTCCCTGCTGGAAGAACACATTCATCTCTGATTGGACCTGAAAAAAGAGAAATTCTGTCCTAATGACAACCACAGGGGTCAAATAACCACAATGTGCAAACCAACAAAAGGATGTAGCAACATATTACAGACAAAACATCAAATATTCTCCCTTTGGTCGTGAAGGAGAAGAATTTGTTTCACTTTAATTTGTTTATTCAAAGCAATGTGTGGATTCAACATAAGTAATCTAAATCTAAATGGTTATAGCTTAAGGATTAATTGGAAATATTAGCATTTTCAGTGTAATGTGCATTCTAAAACTACAATACTGAATAGATGGATGAAAAAGTCAGTTAAATGTGTCCTCAAAAGAACTGAAACTGGCTTCCTATCTTAGATTTTTGCTCAAAAATATGTTTTCACAAACTGTTACTGGAACCGAATGCCGAGAACACACACGGCAGATCTTGAAATGTTTGAATCTGACGTTGCTGAAGTATTTTTAAACTTGCAGCTGAACATACGCTGAGCGACAGCTTGTAGTCAGGTCTGGGAACATTTGGAAAACAGCTGAAGTTATTTTAGCTGTTTACCAAAACATATTCAGTTACAGTCCAAGTTGGAGGAAGAATTTAGGAATTACAGCCCTTTAAATGTGAAAACAAATAACCCAAAACATTTTTTATTTAAAAAATATATAATAAAAAACATTAAAGTTGATTTTTTGTATGCATTTAGCCACTGAAACTAATTTAATCAGTAAATTGTGTGTGTGTGTGTGTGTGTGTGTGTGTGTGTGTGTGTGTGTGTGTGTGTGTGTGTGTGTGTGTGTGTGTGTGTGTGTGTGTGTGTGTGTGTGTGTGTGTGTGTGTGTGTGTGTGTGTGTGTGTGTGTGTGTGTGTGTGTGTGTGTGTGTGTGTGGCTAGGACCTCGACTTGGGTATTAGTGACTTGAATTATGTGAGATGTGTTTCAAGATTCAAAACTAAAGTTACATGTTACTAAACACAGCTCGGATCTTGTGCTTGATGTTTGATCACATAAGCCACAAAAGAAAAGCAATCCGTGTTTGTTTTGATTTAAATAACACAAAAAAGAGAAATGTTATGTGTTTTAGTTTGTAAATTAGATTTACTAAATAAAAAATAATACTCTGCAGTTGAATAATATAATTTCCATTTTTTGAGTCTTCCAGGGACCCATTCAGATACTTTTTGATATTTTTGAGGCATTTACTCATTAAAACAAGTCAGGATCACTAAGAAATAAATGGGCCTTGACATTCTTTCCATAAAGTTCAATAATCCTTGTCAGGAAATGGCCTGTCAGTGGAAACTGTATCCTCTGTGGTCCAATGACCAAAGCTGAGGCAGCATTTCAGCACCATGGACAGATCCAGGGCCAAACTGAGGATTTTACTGTCGGAACAACGAAACATGGGGAAATAAAAGTGCAGATTTAATCTGCATAATTAGATAAATCTAAATATTGTGAGAAATTAAGAGTTGCATGGGTTTTATGTTTATTTATAAAAAAAATTGATAGAATGAATGAAGGCAAATGACTCAAATAATGTTTAAGGCTGCGAGGTCCAATCTTCAATCCTCCAGGGCCACCGTCCAACATGTTTTAGTGGTTCATCTGCCTCCCACACACCGGATTAGATTAAAATGAGTGTTTTCTGATTATTTCTGATATAAAAAAAACAGTTTCTGTCACCCAATAAAAGACATCATTAAAACACAATGTTTTGTGTTGAACATCTAATTTGCTGCCTAAAATAAAAGGGATGATTTCATTTTGATTGAACAGCCTAACTATATGAGAATAATAAGTAAAATAGTTGTAATTACATTTTTCTCGTTTCATATTTCCTGTCTTTACATAAAAGCTAATTTCCTTTAAAATAATTTATCCTCGTTAAGTATTCCTGCGTTTTTGTTTTTGAATATCACTCCTCTCATAATTGACCATCCGCTCTGCAAGCCTCATCACGGCTCCTTCTGAGAAACCGTCTCCTTCCGCCGGAAGTAGAGTCGACCGACGGGAGGCAGATTCAGGGTGAGTCAGTCAGGCTGCTGGCACACGCGAGGCTGCGCCGTCCTCCTCCTCTTCTCCATCAGTTCACCTGGATTAAAAAAAAACAAAAGCAAATCGACTCGCATCCTACCCGATGTGAAAAGGAAAAGTGGAGAGAAAAGACGAGAAATCATCTAAGAAATGGGAGCGTTTAGGGTGCTGCTGGGGAGTTTACATTACCTGGGACTCTGTCTGCAACTTAGTGTCTCCACGAGACAAGCTGGACACCGAGGGACAGAGAACCGCGTCTCTGGGAACGGTAGGTGTGAGACTCACTTCCGTTTTTAATAAAAGCTCCTGAGGAGGGTGATACAGGTACCTGAGCACAGGGAGACAAAGAGCTGCGCAGGTGTGTGTGTGTGTGTGTGTGTGTGTGTGTGTGTGTGTGTGTGTGTGTGTGTGTGTGTGTGTGTGTGTGTGTGTGTGTGTGTGTGTGTGTGTGAAAGAAGTAGATGCGCTGTATTTTATTAGAAGTGTTTTTCTGCACGTAAAGAACATTTGAGCTTATTTTTCCTCCTTCACCCAAAGAGTCATTTTATTTAAAAAATAAAAAACGGAACCAAACTTGATCATTTCCAGTGGTCATAGGTGCAGTTTATGCCTCCAGTAGCTGATTTAATGAGTGTTAATTGTGTCTGTTGGCGTCCCAGTGACACCAACAACCTTCCTCTCCAGTACAAACCCACCTCCGCTAACAGGAGCTTCCCTAAATGGTCTGTGGTGTTGGCACCTGGCTGCGTCATGCAGTCCTACGCGGAGCAAATGCCCAAACCCTCCGGTTATTCCTGGAAACTTTGGCTCAGTCTGACGCTCTACAGGTGTCGCGCTGGCGGATAGTGCTCTGCAACCCCCAAAGGCGCTTCACAAGACAGCCATTCACACCTGGTGGGGTGAGCTACCATGTAGCCGCAGCTGCCCTGGGGCGCACTGGTTGCCTCCCGTTGCCACCGGTAACCTTCCTGAGCTACTGCAGGGATGCTGAGATAGGGATGATGAGTTTTAGTCACAAAGGTTTAGCACCTCAGATTCCCTCACATATGCTGTAAATGTCTTAAACATGCTCCAAAAATCAGAATGCTGTCTTTGAGTTTCAGGAGAATTTATTCAGAATAATATTTGCAGTTAAAGGAAATCAGACGATAAGAAACTGAGAGTTGATTTTTAATCTGTTTCTGAATAATTTTAAAACAGAATTCAAATGGAATTAAAATAAAGTTCTGAATTGACTATTTAAAAGTAACAATTTCCATAAAAAATATATTTGAAATAAAAATATCTATGTAACTTTGCAAAGGCCTGTCAATTTAAACCATGACATGTTTTAATCGTTTTGCTTCCTCTTTAAGAATAAATGAAGAAAATTTGTCAATAAGGATGACAATTTATTTTAAGATGATAATAATAATAATAATAATAATAATAATAATAATAATAATAATAATAATAATAATAATAATAATGTAGATTTCACTTCAACTTTTCAGGGTTAAGTTCAGTGCACGTTTCAATAAAACATGGTGACCACCAAGCTGTTAAATTGGGCTCTTAGAACAACCTCAGTTTGGAGAAACTGAGATCACTTTTAATCAACCAGAAAAGCTAACAACCAGTCACAGCGGGGATAGTTACAAGCCATCTTAAAGCAAACCTGGTATCCAAGAACTCGTACTTCTATTTTTATAGCATTGTGATAAATTTTACATTTAGTCATTATTCTTGTACAATCCTAAAATTCCAGTCAGAAAAAACAAGCTGGAGTTTCCTCAAATCAGGTTTGCTGCAAATAATTACAGTTCTGTATATTAATATTGATTTATGTGTGGTTTAAAGAGGTGTAAAAAATAGAAGCACTGTGGTTCCACTTAGATTAGCCATTAGCTCTTCTATCCTACCATCTAATCTCTAGACTGTTTTTTGTTATTAAAGTTCTCTAAAGCAGCTGGGGTAGTGTTGAAATGTAGTGGTGCACCGATATGAAATTTCTGGGCCGATACCGATATCCGATATTAAGATCACTGTTATGGCCGATAACAGATATTTGCAGATATTGATATACTGACATTAATGCTTCTAAAATAAGCAGATTTTGTATAGAATAAAAATGATTTAAACTAAATTTACGTTATTGTGTACACACCACACACATTTACACTTCTGAGATGATTACAATCACTGTAACATGACTAAACAAACACACATCACCTCCCTCACCCTCTGAAGCAGGCAAACAAATAGTGACAAGATGGGAAAAATATCGGTTGATAATATCGACCCGTTTATTTTTTATCAGACCCATACCGATATTTAAAAAAATTACTAACATCGGCCGATGCCGATATATTGTCCATCCCTATTAAAATGTTAACACAACTTCAGATCTGCTTAATGTGACTATCTGATTCTGTTCTATGGCATTACGTAGGTAATCCTTATAGTCCCTCTCTTGGCTTCTACAGGAAAACTCAAGCGAGCCCTGGAGCGTTGATCAATAGATTCACACTGGAGGGAGCTGTCAATCAGCTAAAATGCACGCCAGTTCCAAGCATGCAGTGCGGGCTGACGCACTGACACATAAGCAGCTTAGCCCACCAGACTAGCTAAAATGCTAGGGAGGGACTAGTTAAAATCCAAGAGGGAGGGAGGGAAATGAAGAGAGATGTATTTTTCCATTAGGGCTAAGTGATTAGCTTAGTGTTCAACCTTATGTTCAGCCTTGTGCTAGCATCGCGGGGGCTGGATTCATGCAGATTTTAGATGGTTGCCTGCTTGATCACTGCAGATTGCATTAAATCGAGTGACTATCAGCTTCTGCAGAACACGGTGAAGGCTGAGCAGATAATCCAGCAGTTAGAATTAGGTGTGTCTGAGCAGGAACATATCAAAAACATTACTTGTCTGTCAGTGCTAAAATGCTGTTTGTGTGCGCAGTATGAGGCGTGGATTTAGGCTCCTCCCAGAAGAGGAGGGGAAGCTATAGCTGTATAAATGTCCAAATCTCCTCCTCCTTTCCTTGACGGCGTCACTCTACAGACCTCGACTTCAGCACATTTGTATTCTTAAATCAATCAAAATATTCCCATTTATTTGTTTTTCTTCTACTTTTATCTGTATTTTTCATTTGTATTGTAGAGAAGAGTCAAATCAGCAACCGTTAGCAGCTTTGAGTCTGTTTTTCTACGCTCCAAATATTGCACCGTTTTAAAAACTATTCATATATTCACACATAAATATTCCTGCTTAATAAAACAGGCTGAACTCCGTTTTCATCATAAAAGCTGCTTTTGCTTTTAGTGGAAATGTGTTGTGCTGCATTCTCGTAACACGTGGATTTCTACAAAGTAGAGTCTGTTGCTTGCTTTTTGGTGTGTGGATATCATTTTTGTACATTGTTTCTCTTTTTAGTACTTGTGTGTTGTTATTTTCGTCATTTTCATTACATTTGTGAGAATTGTAAGTCACAGATGTCGGGTGCATCTGTAATATAAAAGAATCTGTTCCTGTTCTCTCAAAGTGATGAATGTGTTTGTGCGAGGATGCACTTTAGAGCTGTGTGTGTGTGTGTGTGTGTGTGTGTGTGTGTGTGTGTGTGTGTGTGTGTGTGTGTGTGTGTGTGTGCGTGCGCACTTGTTTTTGTTTCATCTAGAGAATAGAAAGCTCAAAAAGAGGAGGGCAGGACTAGTTTAAACCTGTTTCTTCATTGAAACATTAAACGGCCCTGTGCTGTAATTAGCAAAGCACGCCGTGTATTATTGTGGTGTAGAGTTTGGGTCTAATGGGATTTTCTGATGGAGTGGAGGGGATGATGAGAGGGAAAACCTATTTGAACTCATGTACCACCTTTGTTATTTGCAGAGGAAAGGTTTCCATCTCTTTCTGGTTGACGTGAGGTGAATTCAAAGTGTGAGTCGCGTTGCTCGTTTTGGCACATGGACGGGGTCAGTTATGGGGAAAAGGAAGATCATTGGCTTTTCTTCGACTCCAAGGATCAGAATTACTCCCCTTTTAAAATGTTTTTATTTTTGGTGTCACTGTAGCAGCTGGAATAAAACAAATAGTTAGAAAACAAAGAAAAATAAAGAATAAAAAAAACACATAGTAGTTCTAATCTACATCTGCCCAGATGCTGTTTTAGCCATTGATACTTTTCAATTAACTCCCAATTAGGAGCAAGTGAGGCAATTATTCCACCCAATCAATTGCCTTTAAGTATTCAGCGAAGGGTAAATGAGCCGTTCTACCAACAGGAGACTGAAACAAAAAAGAAAAAACAACATGCATCTTTCTCTGAATTAAAACATTTGATGTTGGTGTTTAAAAGATCAACTTTTAGCTTCCTTGTCAATAAGAACGACTAAATCTCAGCCTGAGTTTTAAATCGGCACCCCCTTGTGACCCCCCACCACCAGAGAAACCAGCACCATCCCGGCTGCCATTATTAGACTGAACCAAGCCATTTTTCTAATTTACTCAGGATCCTCGCTGCCTGCTGCACAGCCTTAACTCCTCCAAGCGTGGATGCTCCTAATCACTACATCCATATTCGAGGGGAACTGAATGGATAGATGCACATCCGACACAGATCCTGCTACAGTTCAGCCTCCTTTCCTCATCAACATACACGCCATTTCCCAAAGATGGCTGAGTTTTGTAATAAATGCAATCAGGAGAAGTGAACTAAGGCATCACGCCGCTATTAGAATAATAAATATGTAACTGTGGCCAATGCAGCGTTGCTGTCAGCTGGTGGGGTTTCAGCTGCTGAATCAAACACCAAATGTACCTGTCTGCTCCTCTTCTCCTCTCACTCACTTACAGTTCATGTGTAATGGTGGGCGGTGTGCTGACATGACAGTGGGCTTCCATATTTGATCACATCAGTGAATCCGGAGGAGCAACTGCCAGGAGAGACTCGGTGACTCGCACTGATTTCTGCTGTCTGACGGCGCTGCTAACCGCCGTCTAACGTGAGCAACAACCCAGTAGCATTAACAAGCACTGCAGTAATATTGACTTTTTCTATGATAATTACGTACACGTTTGCCCTCATCACAACTGAGATTTGTTTAATGAAAGAAAGAAGCCAGGTTTTGTTTTTTCAGTTTATGTTTAATTAGTTAGAAATCAAAAATCGTTAGATACAGATAATGTTTTTAATTTGGCAAAAACAAAAGTTGAAATTTGTTTTGTTAACTCATTCACTGCCAGCCGTTTCCTGATCACTAAAGCCCCTCGCTGCCAGCGTTTCTCACCGTTTTTACA